CTTCTATTCTTTCTATAATATTTTAAAAGTAGACTTGTACTTTATGTAAAATCTCAATTAAATATTCAATAAAGATAAAGGTATGGTCTTACCATTAATATTTAAAAAAAAAAAAAAAAAAAAAAAAAAAAAATAAATTAGTCTTGGAAAAATAAAAACTTTCTTAGTTCTAGAAGTACATATCAATCATAAGTTAAATGATTAACATGATAACTTGTAAATTTTTTTTAAAAATCTCATGAATAAATATTATTATTTCATATATTTTTTAATTATAAATTTCGAAAGTTTGAAGATTTATATGAATCAAATTCTGAGAAGTAGAAATAGAATTTCTGCAGTTTATTATTATATAATATAAATAAGGTAGTTCATATGTTATTAATATATATATATATATATAAATGATAATAATAAAAGAAAAAAAAAATGTCATTAAGCATTATGGTTAATGTTATTAAAAATAATTATACTTTGAATTTAATACACTTGAAGAGAATAGCAACTACTATTGAACTATTCTTGTCAAAACTAATAACTGATTAAATTAGATAAGAAAAATTAATTATCAATTGATACTTTTGGAATACTGGTCCAAAATTTGTCACTAGGTGTAATTGTTTTGAGTAATGTTGATAATTGGATAATTAGATAGTTAAATTAACAAATAGTATTAAACAATTGATTAGATAATTAGACTAATAAAATTAAATAATCTAACTATATTTTTTTGTGAAATCCAAATTTTATCCAATTAAAAAAAAATAAATAAATTTGGAGAGTTTAACAGTATTAAATCTTTATGAAATTTAATTTTGAACTTGAAATATATATATTAAACAAATTAATCACATTAGTAAAAGTTTAATATTTGATAACAATTTGTGCACAAAAATTGGTTGGTAAGCATTAAACTAATTGTTTCTATTAATAGTTTTGGTTTTGACTTTATAAGCAATATTCGAATATGCTAAGAATTCAAGTTTTGTGATTAAAAATTTAATTAATAGAAGTTCATATAATCAAATATAAATATAGAATATGATGCAAAATTAATGAATAACTTTCTTTATTGTTAGCTATTATACTGTGTTTGAATTGTTTACTTTACTAGTCATATACTTGTAACAAGCAGATCAATTTGACATATGTATTAATCATCAGTGAAGTTTTATACCAACTAGTACTATAAGTTATATTATTCATTTAACTATTAGATGTTTCATTATAAAACTATCAGAATTTCATCTCATCTATCTGATTCTTTACTTTTTAAAAAAATTTTGTTTTGTACATCTCAAACTTGTTGTTATAACTTAAAATGCCTTTCACACTTTTTACAATTTCTTGTATAATTGACACTTTTCGATTAATCGTTTTTCCAACTATTCATATTCATAATTTTTCACTAATTATGCTATTTAACAGAATAATGATTTTGCTTACTTGCCTATATTCAAGCCAATACTACTTAGTTACATTTATAATATTCACCTTATTTGATTCAAAATGCTAGCTTATAGTCATAGCTGCTGGCTCTGATTTCATCATAATTTTTGTCATTATTATTAGATTAATTATCAATATTTTAAAAATTACCTTTTTTTTTAATACAATCAAGCTTCAAACTTTTTTTAAGTTATATTTGACATTTGTCATTTTTGATACCATATGTTGGTATGCAATGATTGCTAATCAGTTTGAATATTTTGTTTATTAGATAATAAAGTTATTAAAAAAAAAGAAAATCCAAAAAAAGGTAAACATCTGATTCAATATAACAGTATAACATATTAAAGTATATATATTCGAATCTGAATATAACAAACCTCAATATAATGAACTCTGAATTTGACAAACTCAATAATTGAAGTTTTCCTAATATTCTGGTTTAAAAAGTGCTATAAAATCTTGAGAAAGCATAGTAATTTTTCATTATAACTATTTTTTTTTTTTTTTAGTTTATTATAAATAGTCAATTAAATTTATGCTTTTTTTTGTTTTTGTATATGATGTGATCACTGGTGATTTTTCTATCTTTTCACAAAAAAAAAAAGGAGAAAAAAAAATTTGTGAATATTAAACACTTAGATTAAATTTTAAATTAAAGAAAAAAAAAGAAAAAGAAAAAATATACTAGTAATTGTACTGATAATTTGATAAACAAATATAATTAAGTTATTATACTTATCTATTCTCATTATTCTGATATTTATCAGATACTTTTAAACAGTTCAAAATAAACTTATAGTTATCCATCTAATCATTTTTTGTAATAGTAAAATTATCAAATTTATTTGTCTATTTTTTAAAAGAAAGAATAATAATAATAAAAAAGAATAAAAATAAATTAAACATATTTGTATTTTTTAATAGTATTCATTTAGGCTAATTGTCTAAAAAAGATTTGTGATCAACCAAACCTGAGAGGCAATATTTTTGAGCTATTCATTTATAGTGATCTTTGGTTAGATCAGAATAATAAGATATTTTATAAACATCCAACACTTATACAATAATATTAACAGTAAATATTGGCTCAAATTCTTTCTATCAACCACTAAGCATTATTACTGTTGGTGTTTCTTTTTTATAGCTTAGGAAAACTCTTTAGATTCTAGTTGGTTATTATATCTACATAGCAATAGTATAATTCTACACCATTATACAAATAAATAAACATTTTACATATATCATCTTTATTTAATTGATTGGTGTAAATCATTGACTAATCATTATTTTATATGTAATTTAAAGTATATACTTAAATGAAACTAAGCACTTCCTAATAATTATTTTCTAAACAGACATCATCAAATTTAATTAAAACATTAACTAAATTAATGTTTGACTATAATATATAATGAAAGTAATGAAAATAATTTTACCTAAATTCTGCTTAAATTTTGATAATACAATCTGTAATAATGAAAAAATTGATTTTAGTAATTTGACTTAATCAGTTGTATTTAGGTTAGCTATAGAAATTCCTAAACCAATAACTTGTTAAATCTGATAAAAAAATAAATATATTAATACTGTTTTTGTTATATAATGATAATACTAATATTATAAGCTTTTCAAGTCTGATAATCTTGATACTAATATAAAACTTATCTGCCATGCATTTAGTTTTAAGATGTTTAATATTGGTTATTATGATTTTAATTCTGAAAATCTCTCATCATGCAAAAACAGTTCAATAAGAATTTTTTATTTAATAAAATGAATTGATTAAAGTAAAATGACATAAGATTAAACAAAATAAAAAATTTAGACAAATGTGTAAACCAATAAATAAAAATGCATGCTGAAACAATATTAATTATCATAAAGTTGTCTTTAAAAATAGTTCAAATATCTGTATAATTTGTTATTTTAACTTATCTGTTTTTTAGACAGCTATAAATTTCAAGTTAAAAGAAAACAACAAGTAATTAATTTAAAAAATCAAATATTATAATAAAAAATAAATAATAATAATAATGTCGAATATTAAAACCAGAGGTGAAACTAGAAAAAGAAAAAATAGAGAACAGATGTGATTGAGATGTAAGAACCAAGATTTTTAGGAGTTTAAGAAAAGTCAATATCATAAATCCAAACAAATTACAACACAAAACATAGACTTCAATGAAATCATAAAAAAACTTATACTATAAGAAAGATCAATAAGCTAAAAATGCTAATGTGCCATTATGCATTTTTGAACTAAATGAAAATTATGAAAAATTTTTAAGTGAACATAATAATTGGCCATATTGAATTGACTTAGAAATAGCAAAAAGTGCACTATCAAAATTTCATAAATCAGTTAGTTTAGTGAATTACATGAATTATTATATGCTATTTGTTCTAAAATGTGTTATAGTAATAAATTTAAAAAAATACTAGTAGAAGAGATAAATCTTTCTTTACTTTGAGCACCAATGCAACTTATTATGCCATCTTTCAAAATTGACTTTAATTATGAACATCCTGTAATTCAATCTGCCGGTTTGAAAATTCTTCTTGATCGTAATAGATTTATTTATTATTAAAAAAATGATGAGTTTGGAAACTATGTTAACAGTTTTAACTTGCATATTTGTAAAATCTGTCTAAATTATTTACAAAAAAATAAAACACCACCTTTGTCTTTGGGAAATAATATGTTGGTTGGGTTTACACCATTATGTCTTCAAAATTTAACTATTCCAGAGCAGATATTAATTTTGTCTGAATATATGTATGTTAATATTATACAACTAATAAATAAAAAACATACACATCATAAGCTCAAAGATCATATTGTAACATTATCTCAAAATCTGGGATCAATTACAAAAGTATTACCATTACCCACTTTTTGTCTCTGTAAGTATATAAAAGTCATGTTTATCAGTCAAGGAAAACCTATTGACTATCATCTTAAAAATTTGCTTCAAGTTAGAAAAAGTAAAGTCATCAAGGCTCTTCATTGGCTTTTTATATACAATGTTTTGTTTAAAGAACTCGAATTTAGTAAAACTATTTTAAATAGTTTTCTTAAGGATAAAATTCCTAAATCTTTGTTACTAACAACTACAATTGTTAATCTAAATCAAGAAGAAGTAGAGCATTATATGGGTTATAATCAAGATCCTTTAGAAGATCCTAATGATTCAGATAATGAAAATGATAACTGTAATCTTTGTGAAATTAATATAATCAATGAAGTATTTGAGCTTAGAACTTCTGGTATTTTACATATTGATGACATATTAATGATAGAAAATAAACTTAATCTACTTACAATTCATAAACTAATAGATAAATCAAACCACTTTGAAATAAAAAATTCTGAACTATCATGTCCTTCTGTAATTTGCATACCACATAGTCAGACCCTCTTCAATGAATATAAAAATGAATTTCTTTTTTTCTCAGCCTTTCCAGTACTTTTTCTATATGATATAAGAAGACATTAAGGTTGTAATCTACATGTATTACTTAAAGAATATTTTAATCATCTTATGCATCATTGTAAACCTAAATTTCATCAACATAGATCATTTATTTTCATTGCATTTGATATTTTACAATGGTGCGAAGTATCTTCAAAAACTTATAATTTAACCAGATATAACTATTTCAACTGTTCTGTTAAAATGATTTTAACTATTACAACTAAGGATATAAAAATTGCGATTGAACAAGAAAGAAACAGATTACCTATAAAAAATCAAACAATACTAGAGGTACTTAGAAATATTAATGTTGCTGGTTCTAAGTTAATGGCATCACATCAATCATGCTTATGTATGCACAATGAAATATTTTCTGTAATGGTATAAGATGGCCTACCTTCATTATTTATTACAATTAATCCAGCTGACCTACATAGTCCTATAGTCATAATGTATGCTGGAAAAGAAATTGATATTGATAAACTCTTACCAGAAAACTTTCCAAAAGCTACTAAACAAGCTCAACTTGCTTATTTAGATCCTTTAGCAGTAGCAAAATATTTTAATGTCATTATTAGAACTACATTAGATACTATTATAGAGTATAGTAAAAAAGAGAATAATGTGTTTGGTATAATAAAAAATTATTACAGTGTAGTTAATACCAAGATCATGATACTTCTTATTGTCATTTGCTTATATGGCTTTGTGGTTTATTAGATCTGATTAAACTATAAAAAAAGCTAAAAGAAGATAATGACTTTTGTCAATGATTGTTATTATATGTTAGTGACATTGTATGAGAAGATGTTAGTTATCTTCTTGCTAAAAATAAAATATTAATTGATGAGATGCTTGAGGCTGAATATAAAGCTCCCAAAACAATTCAGGAAAAATGCATGCATCCCTCTTTTTTGCCTATTCCAAAATCTAACTTACCAGATTTTGAAAACAAATTTCATTTAGTTTTGCTCGCAATTGTTAAATGCATATTGTTTTATTGTTGTAACAAATTATGTATGAAATATAATCGAGATCTAATACATGATTGTAGATTTGACTTTTTTAGAGAATTAGTTAGTTCACCTAGTATGATTAATACCAAACAAGGAATTATTACCCTTTAATGTTCAAATGCATTCATTAATAACTATAATCTATATATTATATCAGCATATCAAAGCAATAATAATATTAAATTCATTTTGGCCAGAAAATTTGCATTATCTTATATATATTATATCACTAATTACATTACCAAAATCGATATCAACACCCATAACTCATTCTTAATGTGTGCTATTACATTAAAAATTTTATAAAAAATGCTTCAGATGATTTTTCACTTAATATAATAGATAAATCTCATAAGCTTATTACAAAATACTTAAATAAAATAGCTAGCCAAACTGAACTTACTAGTCCTCAAGTTGCTGCATACCTACTAGGAATTAATGATCATTATACATCATGTAAATTTACATATATTCATTTTCCTTTATTTGAATATTATCTTACAAACAAGTGGAGTTATTTTGATAAAAGCTCTGAAGATATAATCTTTAATAAATTGATTTCAGATTATGAACAAAGTAATAAATATGAATTTCTAGAATCTTTCCTAATAACATTAACTAACGATAATTTGACAACTGTGAATCTTCGAATTAATTATCAATTTTATGGACCCTTTTTGACCAACATGTGCCTATATAATTATGCTTCTATCATACAAAAAATTCTATTAACCTTTAATCAACTTAATATATTAACTAATCAGACATCTAGGAAAGGTAAAGAGCATGTAAATCATTTTTTATTTTAAGATTATGAAAATGATAATGACCAAGGCCATCTACAAAGTAAAACACACATTTAATTATATAGAAGATGTGGTACAAAAAGAATAGTCATATTAAATGGTAAAAGAATCTCTAACCAAAATGATAAAGAGAATGCAGAACAGTATGAGTTATGCATTTTCTTGCTTTTTAAACTATGAAAGAATGTTTTGAACCTTAGAGAATAGAATAGTTCATGGTCAGATGCATGCAACGAATTCCTAAATAATACAACTTTAATCTCATATTTACAACATATTATTAATAATATAAATCTAATACATTGGTGTTCGGATGAATTTGAATTAGAACAAGAACTATAACAGAGAATATCAAGTAACTCAATAGTTATAAAAAACAGTTCAATCAATCCTAATATGATAAATCTGAATTCTGATGAAGAACAATTTATATTTGTTAATAAAATCAGTCAAAATAAACATAAGAAAATAAATATAAATAATTCAGCTTTAATTATTAGGTCTGGTTTAAAAAACATTAACTTAGTAGACATAGCTATAAATTATTTATGCATCTGAGATAGATTTTCCTTAATTAGATTCATGGATTTGTTTAATTTTAATAAATTTAACAGTATAGACATTGATAAAAAATCCATTGATAATAATAAACTCATTGTCAAAATAACTTTTATAATGACAAATTATTTAAATCATGGCAAGCAACAATTGCTTCATATAAAACAATTTTGCAAAATAAAGATTCTGATAATACAAAAAATGATTTGATAAATTTCATTAATTCTACTGAATCTCAACATAATAATTATACAAATGAGATAATTAGAGAGCCAATAGATCTACTCAAAAAATTTACATCTGAGTTAAATGAAGAACAAAAAAAAGCTTATTTTCTAGTATATGATTACCATCAGAAAAATCAAAAAACCTGTTTTATTAAATCATCACAATTGTTACTTTTCCTTACCAGTGCAGGTGGTATCAGTAAATCAAAAGTAATTTAATCAATTTGCTTGTATTTTGAGTATACAAGGCAACATAACTCACTTCTTGTTTTTGCATCTACAGAAATTGCAGCTGCAAATATATCTGGCTATACTATACACTTGGCTTGTGGATTTGAATTTGAAAAGCATAAAAAAAACAATTTATCTAACAAACAATTACACTATTTACAAGAAATTTAGTGTAAAATTCAATATGTTATAATAGATGAAATTTCAATAATAGGTCAAACTCTTTTTCCCCAATTTCATGCTTTTTTAAAATTAGCAAAAGCAACAAATAACTCCATCTTATTTGCTAGAATTAATATTCTCTTCTGTGGAGATTTTATGCAGTTATCTTCAGTTCTTGACCTGGCTTTATATATACCAAGCAAGGTTAATAACAATAACTAAACTTCAAATAACCGGGAGTCAGATGATGAAGTATGTTTAAAAAAAGTATTAAATGCAAATGTACTAATAATGTTAAGATCAATAATCACACTGTCACTAATAATATAGATAGAAATTTGTGGTTGAATATTGAGCATGTTATCAAATTAAAGCAACAAATATGACAAATAAACAATAACTTTTATGCTACTATCTTGAAAAATATACAAGAAGAAACTATTAATGAAATTCAGAAAGAAGCTTTGCAATCAAGAGTAATATGTGACAATCAAATATGATCTAATATTTGGGAAAATGCAACATTTCTGGAGACTTAAAATGATCTGTGAGTTTACTTAAACTTTGATGCCACGATAGAACATGCACAGGATCTTCATCAACCCTTTTTCTACTTATATGCAGAAGATACATATCATTGTATTTATTTAACGAGAACTTATCATAAAAAATTTCTTTTGACTTCTGACACAAACCAAAATGCATTTTGTGAAATCTTGTCTTTATTTATTGATATAAAATTTAGTTTAACTGTTAATATATATGTTCATGACAACTTAGCCAATAGTATTCAAGAAATAGTTTGACAAATTGTTTATATTAAAAATTCAATCATTACAATATTACAACAAGAAAATACTTTTGCTCTCAATTATCTACTAAAATACGTTATTATTGAACTAATTGACAAAACATTAGGTTCATACAAAGATTTATATTTAAATCATATGTCTATATACCTGATTAAACGTAAGTGCATATATACAGCATATAATCAATATAGTACTAAAATTATGAGAAAATTTCAGCATCTACAATTACTTTTGATCTTAGTTTATGCATTTACAGACTATAAATGTCAAGAATATATATTAAATAAAATGTAATTGACCTGACAAATAATAATGCTTATACAAGCACATACATAATGCTTTCACAGACTCAAAAACTTGAAAATTTATTAATTCTTAGGCCTTTTAAAGATTCTATACTTGATTTAAAATTACCTTATGTTCTTTGTAAAGAATTTGAAAGATTAGAAATTTGTAAGAAAAAAACTGATCAATTAGAGAGATGGCCTGATAAATTAAATGAATAAATATTTATTAGATACTATATATATAATTTGTTTTTAATTATATAATATATATATTAATATGATTATACCATATAAGCTATTGCATAGAGTAACAATATATAAATTATATATATATATATACACTATGTATAGATATAATTTGGCTATATAACAACTTATATATATATATATATCGATATATATATATATATTTGGCTATTTTAATATCACTAATTTACTACTGCTAGTCACTTTGTCTAAATTGAAACCCATTATTCAATTAAACATAGATAAATACATATTAAATAATACAATCTTCACAATTGTTCGATTGTAGATATTAGTATAAATAAAAAATTATAAGAACATATTTATTACAATATGTAGTATATATATTGTATTTAAAATTCATCTAAAGTAGTGCCTAGCTGAAATCAAGACCTGTTATTGAATCTTCATATATGCCTTGAATTATAATTTTAGCCAGAGCACTACTTTAGATATCTATATTAAGTAGGAAAAATTTTGGCTAACATACCTAATATAGTTTGTAAGTAAAACAAAATTTACTAATTTAATGATCAATATACTTGAATTGATCATAATTTCTACTTATCTCTGGCCAAAAAAATAATTGTTACTAACACTCTAGCATCACTGGCTTAAAAAAATTTTTACTATCAATTTAAAACTAAGGTTGATATCAATTTAAAAAGAGCTCCTCTAATAACAAAATTTCATATAAAAAAAAAAAAATGTTAGTACATGGAAAGCGTAGAATGTTTAAGTTATATCTGATTTTCAATTTAGTTAAATATTTTTGAGTTATGATGCACTACACTTAATTATGAAACTGAGTATCTGATTGACTCAAATACAATGAATTTTATATACAATATATACTTTGAAAATGAAACTAAAATCTACTTAAATTAATTTCAAATAGTCATAAATCATTCATACTTAAAAAGTTATACAGTGTTTAAAAAAAAAAAATTTCAATTTAAACTTCAACCCAAAAACTTCCTTTTTATATTATTTTCAACAAATTAGCCAATAAATTTTCAAAAAAAAAACTTTATAAGTGTTAATCTTTTGTTTCACACCTCATTACAAACTTATTATTGTAATGCTACGTGGGCTTACCAAAACAAATTTGAAATTTTAAAAAATTAAATTGAATTAAATTCTTTTTAACTAAAGAAGTTAGAAGCAATATTTAATTACCTAATAAGTTTACATTTTCAAAACAAATTAGAAGTGATATTAACAGTTCGCTATCATTCAAAATAATTATGAAATTATCAAATAAAATATATCACTTGTAATATAAACTAAAATGCTTAATAATACTAATAAAAGGATTAAATTAATAGGATTCAACATAATACTATGACTTTGAATTTAATCAAGAACTATTAAAATATCAAAAAGTTACAAAAATGTAATTAGTATCTATATATGAATGCCTCTCAATTCTAATATAAATTATCAATTATTTATTCTTTTCGACTCTTCTAATATAGTATAAATTAGTCATTTAAAGATATTTAATACAGGAACATCATAAATTCAAAGGGTATATGATCAGTAATTTATTAAAAAAAAACAATTGTGCTCTTTTCTATTAATTGCACTCATAACATAAACAAAATGTAACAACAATATGAATAAGAAGTAGATATTCAAATAGATTGTATAGAGCAATTGTTATTCAACAATATTGAATATAAAAGCAGAAACATATTTAATGCTATCATGAAATAAAAAAATTTGGCTATAAAATTGTGCTATAAAAATTTATACTGTTTACGATTTTTAAATTTTCATTTATTTTAATCTTAAAAATTTACTTGATTCTAATCTATGTAAATAGAATTATAGTCTACAGAATTCGAATCCACTTACATGTATACATGCAATTTTTCTTGTATATTAATTTCTTCTAATAACAGAATTTTTTTATTGAGAAAAAAGAAAAAATAAACAACAAGAAAATTAAACAAAATAAATACAATACCTATTATCAGCAAATAATTCTATCATCATAAATTGACTAAGGTTACAATAAATATGTAAGTTATGAAAAATAATAAAATAACTAAATATCTACAATTTAAAAATAAAATAATAATAATAAAAAGATTAAAAACAAATAATAAAAGTTATATATAAAATTAAATTTTATTTTATTTATAAGAAAAAACAAAAAAAAAACTTAAATGATATATGTATATTAGTGATATTACCTAAACTATTAGGGATGTCCCAAATTGTATAATGCTAAAATCATGTGATGCTATTTATTACATAATTTGGGACATCCCAAATAGTTTGGGTAACATCACTAATATATACTACATTTCTGGTTTAAGCATGACAGCATTATGCAGCTACTCTAATTAATATAGCAGATGCTGGGCAGAGGTCTATGTCATCTTTGTAGTATCCAATATAGATACTCTTAGTTCTCTGTTTTCTTCTCCTATGAGATATTGAAATGTTTAATTTTTTAGAACCCTCTATAATAAATAAGATTCCTTTTTGTATATATTATAAAGATGTTAATTTGATTCTTGCTAAGTTGCTTAGTCTACAAGCTATAGTTAAAGTGCATAGAAAAGAGACTTTTTTAAATAAATTCAGTAAACTTATTGTATCATTTGCTTCTAAGCTAATTAAAAAATCTATTGCTAATATAATATCTACTGCATCTTCATATAAAGAAGAGGGTAGATTTAGCTTGTAAATTGCACACATGACTTTGGTTACATCTGAATAACATCTGATGCTTATGTTATCTACTAAATCATATATCTTACTAATTGCCAAATAATAACTAGCTTTTGTGTTATATGCCTTTCCTTCATTATTCATGTCTTTCAAGAATTCTACTACATTAAATATAAGGCAATGTACAGGATCTGCATCATGTTCATGGCACCAAATATTCTATTTTTTAATGGCTAATCCAACTATATTATTTGAAGACTCATTGGTTGCCTTTTCTATCAGGTTAATAATTTCTGATGAAAATTTTTTCTTTTGTAATGATGACCTAATATTAGACAAGCAAAGATCTGCCATCTTGGATTGTGTAATAGGTTGATCTTCTGTGAATGACATATCTGGAAAAGGTTCATTTTTGGAAGAAGTATCGATATGTCTATTAACAAACTGGTCAATAGTGGGAACCAAGTTGCTGTTCTCCAAAATAGAATTATTATGCAAACAGTTATCTGTTCTTCTATTACTTTCTTTAATATTTTCACAATCAAGATCTAAGAAGGGTTTGCCCAATTTCTTGGTTGCTCCAATCTTGTTTTATTGCATTTACTGTCAGTGTATTTGAGTCTTGGAACCTTGAATAATACTAAGGGAGTTGGGTATTTATTATGTTCGCAAACAAGTCTGTTATGAATGGACTTCATCTTTGATTGATTATTCTGATATTGAAAGATTTAGCATCCAATTGGTCTTGTTTAAAGACTGTTTTGATGCTGCATCAGCTTGTTCATTGATCACTCCTGATATATGTTATGCTACTAGCTTTATATTTTATTGAAAGCAAATGTTTCAAATTTTTTCTGCTAACATACTCAGTATATATAACAGAGTTTCTTCTTGATTGTTTAGATATAAGACTGCTGTCATGCTGTCTGATTTGATCAATACTATTTGATTCTGTATGTCTTTGAAGGCTTGGAATGCATAGTGTATTACTTCAAGTTCTAAAATATTTATATGCAACTTTTTTTGATCTTCTATCCAGTAACTATAAATGGTTCAGCTATTTTTAACTGCTCCTCAGCCTTGTAGTAAAGTGTCTGTATAAATAATTATGATTGGTATGTCAGAAATAAGAGTTATTTCATTTTATTTCTTCAGATTTACTATCTATCATTATAGTTGGTTTAGACTTTGTTTGAACAGATTTAGAGTGCTGTTCCAATTTCCATGCTTTAATGCCAGATTCTTGTCTTTTATTAAAGCCTTAGACTTCAACCTTACAGGAAATATTGCACCAATAGTTGCTGAGAGTTTTTTAATTAAAGATGTAAGCTTTCTTATATGCATAATAGAATAGTTGATAGCTATTTTGCAATCTTTTTTTATATTTGTTATTTTTGATTTTAAAAAAAAGATCTTTATTTTTTCTGTGTTTATTGTAAATTCTAAAAATTCTATTTGCCAGGTCAAATTCAACTTGGACTTTTTCAAGTTTATTTAAAAACCTAGTTCCTTCAGTTTATTTATAATCAGTTTCATATAAAGATTCATCAGCATTTTTGATTTTGCTAGGATTAACAAGTTATCTAGATATGCTGTAACCTTTATTTCACAGTCTCTGACCTATGCTAAAACTGGTTTCAGTAGGTTCCTAAAAATTCTTGAGCTGCATATAAGACTAAATAGTAAGCAGGTAAAGCAAAATCTTCTGTTTTCAATAATGAAGACAAAATATTTTTTTTTTTTTTTTTTTGATATTAAGGTGACCTCTTTGGTCTTTTGACTTTTATTAATCACTTGTCGGCATTGTGGTTC